TAATGCGACTCCTCAATACGTTGGTTGAATTCGATACTCGAACGTAAATAAATTCTGCAGAATATCACGTATTTTATATTGCTCAATAATGCAATACCTCATCATATACATTTGGTCGTACGGTCAATTTAAGTAGGTGCCTACCTATTATTTTAATCGCACATCTCAACAATTTAATGTTTTGATTATTTAACTACAAAATAGTATAATGTATGTTAATAAATGCACGTTGGTAGTATATTATTATAAAAATAACAGCGCAACTTTATAAATATTATTTTTATAACGAATAACGACATTTTGTTTTTAATGTGTTGTAAATTGTGACCCATAATAGAGTATAACAATATTTTATCAACAATAATTATTTTAATACTGTAAACGTCGCGAGAGGTGTGAACATAACGACGTCGTCGTGTCCAAATCGTATTATATTATACACTGCGGGAGTCTCGGTCGAAGTTCAACCACCGTTGTTATTACAAAAATATGCTTTTATTCATTATTTTTTTTGTACACAGTTATTTTTATTTTCGAAAATATGTTTGTGTATATATTATGTCTATAGCTGCTGCAGTAATAATATTTTATTATTTATAATACGTCGTCGAAGGTACGAGTATTTTTTTTTTTAAATGTATAAAATCATTATCTCGTCCGACGTTTTAATAATAATACGTATTCTAAAGCCACAGTGGTAGGGCGTACTGTAGTTGTAGTACTGTAATTCGCCGGAATCGAATGCAACATACGCGCGCTGTTGATTTGCCTATCCAACGCGCCGGCGTACCATGAAAATTCGATAGAACATTAGGTATTAATAATAATATTTTTTCAAAAACTTTAATAATTTGTTGGTATTATACTGTTATCGACCATGGTAATTATTATTAACATCACATTTTCAAATTTTTTTTTCTATTATACTTACATAAACCCGTATAATTTATAGTTTAATAGTATGAGTCGAATGATTAACGTATTGGCGGAGTATTCGTAACACACACCCACACACACCAATAGTCATATTATTATTATTATTATTCTATATTACAGCAGCTCGTCCCGACGCTGCTGCACCGCGCACGCAGCTCTTAACGCGGATAATATAAGCCACTTAGCTAATTTGCATCGAACGCGAAGGGTCGCAATATTCGTGACTTAATTTATATCGTGTATAACGACAATTCAATTAACCACTTTATCGTCGGTGTTGTGGGAATACAACGAGAAACCGAGATTACTGCCATCCGTATATTATTATAATATAATATGCTTCGGTGAGGTAAAATTGGAATAATTAATTAATATCGATTATTGTAATTATTATTATTATTACGAATATGATTGTGGTGTAGTGCGCAACTTTTGAGCCTTTGCAGCGGTTCACCCGGCCCGATCCAGTGGCCCGTCGTCCACGTTATGCTCGTATGAGTTCATCACTTGTCTGAAAATATAATAATATTAAAGCTCCCCCTTTTAATCGTTATTTTTTTTACCTTTCAAAATGTTTTTACAGCGTATTATTTACGAGAGCTTTTTTCAGTTCTGTTTAATTGACACTCTAAAATTATAAATTAATAACGTCCATAACAGTCTTGGTATATTTTATGAACGCCGCGAGTTGAACATTATTATTATTATTATTATTATTATTATTATTATTATTATTATTTATATTTACCTCGCCTACTTCCTGCATTATAATGTACTGTTATTCAATCATTATTAATGCAATTCTAACGTTTTATGTACATTATGCATTTATATATCTTTTTATTAAGTATGTCATTTTTTTTCAACAGGTTTCGGTTTCGTGACTTTCCATTCGGAAGACGTAGTAGATAAAGTCTGCGAAATACATTTCCACGAAATCAACAGTAAAATGGTGAGTTTTCTATTTATACTACAATGACATAATAATAATTAAATATCAGAGATGCAAATTGTATCACTCATTTTTTCTTTGCTTTTTACCGTTTTTTTATTCTGTTATTCTATTGAATAATACAGTTATATATCTAGTTGTACAAATTATTTATTAGGTAAATGTTATTATACACATATTATTGTACGATGAAAAAATATAAAATTCAATTATCTGTATAGATTTAAATTAATTACATTACCTAACTGTTCGGTAATAAATGAATAGTGTACAATGGTATATTGTAATTATTACACATTTCGTTTATTCAGTTATAATGTACCATCAAAGCCGTGTGTATTAAAATATAAATCAACTTAATGGCAATTATAATAATACCATAAATTGTCTTCTCCATTATTATCCGCATCTCTAATATTATATTGTATTATCTTATCTTAATTTTAGCATGGTGGAAGGTATTAAATGGTACATTAGATTCTTGCAACGTAATAGATACCGTATAATTATTACGATACACTGCACAGAAACAAAACGCTGATTACACACGCATTAGGATGGCATAATATAATACAGAGCGTCACGTTTTCTACGTCACTGATGAACGATATAATAACATACCTACTAATATTATAACATGCGATATTTCAATTTATACGATGTATTATTATGAAAACACTATTGAAAATGCAATATTTTTCGAAATTAAAATATGTATCGAAACTTCAATATTTACTCAAAATATTCAAAATATCCATTGCCGGGCTGGTACCAGTAAACGTGCATACATTAGTTCGTAAAATATACGTCACATGCATATTATATAACCATAGGTTATTTTAGCTTTGCTCAGTGTCTAAAATAACTGTGTGCATGATACACATCACGTTGAGCGCCGCGTTTTATTCATCACGTATAAATTGCTATGGGTACCTACCCATCTACCCACATGTTCCGGATTTAATTGCTCTTTCAGTGCCAGTCGGCGAATTCAATACATAGGTACGACAAAATACCTGCCGAGTGTAATTCGTTAGTTGCTTTTTTTTTTGTCGTATCTTCTGGTTTCAGTTCTCTTTGAAAGAATTATTCCACGAAGAACTCGACAAGCATTTTGTTCGTAGTTATACATACCCATAGTATACGTAGGAGGATTATAATTCACCATACATAATAATACGCTTGCCTTTGTACCACCGGGATGTTAAAGTAAAATAATGTCTACTTGAGTGCAGAATACTCCGTCGTCGTAGTGGGTTTCCTCATGTCATAGTAAAGTTTCGTCTGACTTTTGAAATTATTGTTCTCGTGGTTCCACGCGGTAAAAGATAAAACGAACTGCATATTGCATTGCGTTTGTTGAGCAATTGCACTCTGCCCGCAACCAGAACCCTCGACGATATTGTTCGGGGAAAAAATGTCGTGTCCTCTATATACGTCACGGCGCATATACATATATATATATATATAAGCACCTGTCGTTCGCAGAAACCAAATTTTTCAGTTTCCGAAAAACCTCAAATAAAATATGCGCGCGCACGATCCGATTATACATATTTTCTATTAGCCATCATTCGTAACGTTGCGGGGGAACAGATAGCTTTACACTACAGAGAACTCGTCCACACACACATATATATATATATATATATATATAAATGTATATATGCATGGTATCTACTATCTATATTGGTGGTCGTCTTTCCGACAAATACGCGAGCCATTCCGCATTATAATATGACATAATGTAATCCATTTTGAAAACCGTTTCATGTCCGGTACGACACAAATCCCATACCATTCTATAATGCATATATATATATTATATACATGTATCGCATCTAAATATCCGATTGATGTGTGACGGTGGTGGCGGCGGTGGTGGTGGTTGTGATGGAACTCCGATACGTACTTCCAATGTAAAGTAGTCTTCCTCCTCCCTCGTTATTGACTTTGGGTTAAATAGAGACAATATAGACGGAATGGAATGCAATGGATAGGAGTTAAAAAACAATTTTGTGATCACGTATAATGTATAATATAGAGAAAAATCTTGTGCATACATTTTAATATAATATTGTGTATACAAAAAACTACTTGAACCTGATGTCAAAGCAGTGGTTACGGTTTTTTTCCTTTACTTTTTCTTTGAAATCGAAATTCTCCATGCATTGTCCTCGAACTAGGATGCTCTCCCCCACGTGAAACCGTTCCTCGCGTGTGTGGTGCGTCTGGGGTTGAAAGAAAGTATAAAAAAATTAAAGCCAAAGTACAATATTTTTCGTAACGAGTTATTAATGCGTAAGAGCATTAACCGCGAAGATCGAGTACGGTCGCCGCCGGATGGCTGTAATCTTCAGGAAAGGGTTGTAATAACCCTGCGTGGTATTAGTGGAAAGCTAGTCGGTGAAGTCGTTGTCGTTTTTATTTTATTTTTTGTAGTTTGTTTTTGTTTTTTTCCCCACCCACCCCGTCACCCAGAGTCTCGGTGGAATTGTTTTAATCTCTACAAAACGGCGTCCGTTTAAAGTGGCGTGAGGGGCAATGATGGCGTGAGGCTGGACGTGATGCAGAGGGTGTTATACATATTACACCCACCCACCCACACACACATGCACACCGATGTGTCCAGGCTGGGCTAATGTGCGCTATTAATTGTTTTCCGGTAATTAATGTAATGTCTGGGCTTTAATGTTTTTCGAAGGGTTAATTTAATTTTACACCACCGACGCCACCGATATGGTCCACTAGGTGCACTTGCTACAGGCCGATTGGATGAGGATCGACGAACAAGTGAGGACGCGGGGAGACCTTATCGACGCACCCCGATCGAGTTGATATTAATTAATCTTCCCCATTTGACACAATTCCCGACCGTGTCTGATGCATATATAGGCATTTTATGTGCACACATAAATATACTTGCGTATTTTAAAGTCAAGCGAGACGATGTTATAGCGTGTGCACAAATAAAAAAAATAACTAAATTATTATTGTTTTTTTTTTTGTTTGTTTATTTATTTTACATTTTTTTTTTTTTTTTGCTAATGACTATAACCCTGTTTGGGGAATAAATATGATGTATAATATATGTATGGGGGGTGATGTATATGAGTGTGAGTGTGTATGCTTGTTAATATTAAACGTACTGTTGACCTCATTTCCACCACCACCGCCTTGTCTTCTATGGAATGTATGGATCACTCCGGTTATTTATAATGCAAGTGACTCGCACACATCAGAAATGACGTTCCAGGAACGTAAAAGTTGCTTATTTATCTGGAAATAACAAATTTCTTTCAACGCGTTAAAATCAAGTAAAACAACTTACCCACTGTTGAAAAAAATATAGCGCGGCGATGAGGTGTTTTTTACGTTGAACCTAAATAATCGTAATATTTCTCACAAATCATTATCTATGTGAGAAAATGTAGTATATTTATTTATTTTATAATTGCAAGTGTCAACTGAAGTTGTATTTTGGAAAAAAACGACAATTTTCGAGATTGTATTTAGTATTTAACATTTTATAGAATCTTAACACAAATAATTTTAAAAGCAATTATTGAAATAACAATCTACCGACACGTATTTATCGTAATATTATATTCTATTTTTTAAACAATGCAATCATCTAGTATGATCCTTTTAATAAAACTGTCTTTTCGCTGATCTTACGTCTTCATCTTAGTCATTTCTAGAAAACAATTGGGGAATTCCAAAACATAAAAATAACGAAATGATGCATGATTTTAAAGAGTATCGCCTTATTGATGTAATAAATTATAGCTTGATTACATTTTGATTGAATTTAATTGAAAAACTATTTTAATAAAATATTCTTGATTTTTTATAAGCAGTATAAAATATAATTAAAATTTAATTGATTCTGATTGAAATGTCATTGTACATACACTACAATAGAGTTAAAAATAAGTAATATCATTAGAAATAATATTAATTATGTACATAATACACACTCGGTTACTCATTTAATAGTATTAAGATATCTTAAGTTGTTGTGTACTATTGTATAATGGGACACTGCATATTATAATGCCCGTGTATTATTGTACGACGGTCGGGGCATTGCGAGGCCTCTTGAACCGTAATATATATATATATCAATATATTACACAAATAATTTATCTGCCGTATAGTGAATTCGCGTATATCGTTTCTGGAGTGTCTGGTGAGATTATATTAATAATGTATACGAGAGTTGCAAAACTCATTTGGAAGGGTGGGCGGCTATCGTTGGGGTTGTTGGGTAGTATTTATCATATATACACGCAGGTCCATTCAAATGGCGAAACTATCATTTTCTATGTGGAATTTGGTGTTTCAAAAAATAATATATTGATAAATGTACTCCAAAAATGTATAAAGTTAGCTTCGAATACCGATGTAGGTACATAGCCCAATCGAGGTCTGATTTACACTGTTGCAGGATAGTTAGCAGATTGCGTTCGGAAGTTGTTCTCCCATAATCGACAGTGATGCAAATTTTCTTTCACAAAAAATCGTTTAAAAAAAAATACAAATATATTTACAAAAAAAAATACGCAACCACGATGGTCCATTTCAGATGTGAAATTTCAGATCTATCTGTGAGAGTTACCAGTAAAATGAACCTATAAATATTGTACTCGGAAAATATGACTGTAAAGCTGTTCTCATAATGAACAGTGCTTGGCTGCCCATTTGTTCTACTACAATAATAATAATAATAATAATAATAATAGTAATAACCGTAAACGACTAGAACAACATTCAATGGAAACGATAAGCGTCTTTATCGCACTATGTCCTTTGTTTTTCTCATTTGCTTGCGTCGTGATAGTCATAAATATATATATACAATAGCTCGCGCGAACAAAACTCAAGCGTAAAAGGGCTGAACATAATGGGTCAAGTGTGTGTTTATGTGTGTTCGTAGGGGAAGAGTTCAGGATTCAGGGCTCTATGTCCGCAGTAATTATCCGTGTTGGAATAATATCAGAGAAATCACTATAAGTACCTAATAATACAATTATAACTACTACATTATTTTATAAAACTAAACGATACCGAGAAATTCGAGTTGCGTTTTCTTCAGCACACTTTTTATAAAAATGAAATCCGTGTCGAATTCGGTGCAAACAATAATATGCATACAATATAATATGTGGTGATCTAGTCTTAGGGCTCCTTGTACGAAGTGAAACCGTAAGCCTTCGCGAAAAAAAAACGCTTCCCAATACGATGTGGGGCCCATCGAACAGTTATTATATATTTTTTTTTAATGCTCAAATATCTATATTATATAATACGGCAAGAGAAGTAGAGAGGGGTTGAGAGGAAAAGAGAGAGATTGAGATTTCGTGAATAATGGGCTCGTGTCGCGTTCACGTATGATAGATGGCAGAGCCATATTATACGTATTATATACAGTACGTATATAGTGTATACATAGTATGGTTTGCTCGAATCGCGGTAGGACTGTTATTAAAAGCTACCCTGCAATAAAATATTTACTTTTAAAACCTCATTCCGGCTAGAGGTTTTTATTTTATTTTTTTTCGTTTTCATTTTAACGTTTCAGTGCGTCAGTTAACTTTCTTTTGAAATGATGATTTACCCTCACCCTCCCTCCCCCCACACACCATACTCGACGTCATTGCGTGTCCTCGATCCCAAACCGGCCCTCCGCACTAATATAGGGACGTTCGAGCGTGTTGTATACTCCGCACCGCTTTGATATCGTGACAGTGGTTCAGTCGTTCGTATGCATAATGAACTGTAGTGTGAATGTGTATGTGCATGTGTGTGCGTTGGTGTTGCCAGAGCATCGGAAGTAGGTTCAACCACACATATTATAGAGACATAGAGTATACCGAGGATAATAATCGGCTAGATGGAGAAACACAATATAATGTATTATTATTATGAGAATGGATGATAGTATACCTATTATATTATTATAATTATTATTATTATTTGAACACGCTCGATCTGTGGGTAGTGGTTACATAGAACGCGTAACGTTATTATTATCGTCATCACCGCAATCATTCGAGTATTATAATGTATTATTGTCTGACAAACTGTTATATGCGTATATCGTTTCCGAGGGAGTATAGTGAAGGTAAACACCTACTAATAAATATCTGGTAAACATCATTACTGTACTGGGTGATCCATATTCCAGGGTGCAACCAGCCGTTACTGGCTGCACGAAATTGTCCAAGTAAATATAAGTATAAAAGTAAATATGGGTTTTTGAGTGTAAAAATGTTATTATACCTGCTAGTTTAAAACAGTGTTTATTACACAACATTTTTTACAAATTAGTCTACTTTTTGTATTATTTTATATTTTACTTTAAACCACTATAATATAGTGAAAATTATTAAAGAATTAGAATATGTTTCTGTTAAAATTTAGTTGTATTAATACTTTGAACTAAATAAACCTTTATTTTACTCTTCAAAAATACAAATATTGACTTGGTAAATTTCGTGTTGCCTCCCAAACGGAATCACCCAGTATATAATAGGTAATATAGTTTCAACAGTGTATATCAACACTATTATATATTAATAATTATTTAGTGGCCACATAGTAGTAACCTACTATTGGCAGTAGCGATGGAAGTGGACCCAGGGGTGGAAGTGTTAGCCAATAGGAATATATTATACACTACAGACTCGGAGAGGATAATCCTCAGTGAATTTAATTTGCCTCTACGATTAGAACACTGACGTCGTGTCGTGGTAGTCGTTAATACTGTCAATATTGTTTAGGTTTGGTATCTCTTTCACAACTACCATAGTTCTGTTTCTGTGCGGTTCTTACTTAAGCACAATATATTATTTTATATTCTCACCGTACAATTCTTTGACCATCTGCCTCGTTGAGAGTGTATTTTATATGATATCAGTTCGATTAAAAATAACGATGATCGTTCTCAAGTATGGTGTTTTGGCGAGCTCGAAATGTTAATTTCATCGTATTCAATCATAATATCAACAATGGGCTATGATGAAGTCAAAGAATATTATGATATTAATGTGCATTATTCGTCGAGAGCTATATAGGAACGAATAATTTTCTAAAAAGCGAGACTTACACGAACAGTACGATTAATGTATTATTCACTGATAGATGTGTTGCACACCATAGTAATATATAATATAACCTATGCCGTACGATTTTTTTTCACTCTATAAGTCTACTTTCATTTATACTGGCTTCGATCGTTTGGTATTCGTTGGCAGTCGTGCAAGGCGATGACTGTTACGGGCGGCGGACGAATAATAACGAATAATCGTCGTATCGATGATGACAATAATATAATTACACGGTTATCGTTTCAAGCCAACCTACACAGTGTATTACGATTGTTTTTTTTTTATTTTTTATCCGTACGAAACGACGTTATCGTTTGAACTTTACGGTACTTGGGGATATATTATACGTAATCGCAGGCTGCTCGTAAATCCATTCACCGACCGTAAAAAACGGTAATAGCAGCCCATTTGGCGATAAATGCGACGCGTTCTGTGTTTATATTATATTATATGTCTTTACCGGACGATATGTGAAAAATCAAAGGGTTATGCATTATATCGACCGTAGCCGTTCTGTAATAGTGTGACAACAAACACCGGTTAATTACCAGAGCATTTATGCCTTTATTATAGTCATATTCACAAGTACATATTATAATATATGTCATAAAATAACAATTGACAGTGCAGAGTATTTGTGCACAGGAATGATCCTAATTAAAAGAATGCCTAGGTGCTTTAATAACAATTTACAATAATTAGCGTATTGTTAAAGCGCAGCATTTATTTTAGATATAAATTAAAACAAACAATTTTTTATTCCGCCTTCATTTCGTGTAGGAGATTTCAAACGTTATAATATGTGAAATCATGTTGCTGTTACATTTTTGTAAAATTGTATTGACGAACAGTCGAAGACCTAACTTTATATTCATTTTGCTTATACATTATACATTGATATAGTATGTATGTTATTATTGTTATTAATCATTCAGTCGTTCGTCATCGGGTACAGTGTTTGGTCCTCTAAAAGCATCGAATTCGTAATATCTTTCGAAATCACTCATTCCACGTGTATTCCCATTCGGAGACAGACAAGAACACATCATCACTCATTAATATACACTCAAAACATAAAATATTTCAAATAAATGTAGTTGGAATAATATATTACTCGTACTTGCATATGTATTAGCATTTTGCATCGAAAATAATTTTATAAGCTGAAAAAAAAGTTAACAAATCGGATTCAAGAACTATACACAATTGTCCGGCGAAAAATAAATTACATAAATTAATTAAATATTATAAATAATAACACGTTCGTTATTATAACTTAACCTACAGTATACACAATAAACAACAATAGTATTATGCATAATATGCATTAAATATTTCTGAAACAAATCGCATTATTTTTGTTAGGATGGCTGAATAGTTATCAATTATCACACGCGTAATTATTAACCAAGCCCACATTTAGTGATACCGGGTAACGGGTCTTATTGTAGCTTATTTTTCATCTTTGGTTTTACCAATGTATTGACGGCATGCGTTTTTTTTGTCCGTCCGCAGGTGGAGTGTAAAAAGGCGCAACCGAAGGAAGTGATGCTGCCGGCCAACCTGGCGAAAACGCGAGCAGCTGGCCGCGGGACTTACGGTGAGTTTATTGTTATGAAAAAACCAGGAGTGGGCTTGTGCGCCGCCGGTGGTGGGTCGCGCGTGTGCCATCACCACCATCATCACCACCGTCTGGTGGGTGGTTCGCCGTCCGGCGCGCATCACCACCAACACCACGGTGTCGTCGGGGGCGCGGCCGGCGCTGTGTTGGGGGGTGGTGGCAGTGGCGTTGGCTTTGGCGGGGGAGGCGTGGGTGGCGGGGGCGGTGGTGGCGCGATGATCGCGGCCACTCCGGCGGCCGCGGCCATCGGTTACCGTTTCGCACCGTACCCGCTGCCGCAACAGTCGGTGGCCGCCGCCGCGGTGGCCGCCAGCCAGCAACAGCAGCAGCAGCAGCACCTCCTCCTCCACCATCACAACCACCACCACCAACACCAACAGCAGCAGCACCAGCAGCAGCTGCACCAGCAACAGCAACACCTTCAGCAGCAGCAACACCTTCACCACCACCTCCAGCACCATCAGCCGGCGGCCGCGTCGCTCGTACAGTTACCGATGATCGGAGCGATGCAGCAGGCGGCCGCGTGTAAGCGCCTGTTGGCCGCCGCGGCCGCCGGCGTCCGGTTGCCCGTATGCAACCCTCAGCCGCAACAGCCACCCCCGCAAACGGTCGCGTTTAATTTCCCCGAAGGCCTGGCGTTCGCCGTCCAGGGTGTGCCCGGCGCCGCCGATATTCCCGCCCTTTATCAGACCGCCACCATACCGATAACGTTTTAAACGAATGCGTTCCCCCACCCCTACCCGACTGTGAAATTAAAACCGTATACAACGCGCACAACCCCTTTGCCACTGTAAAAAAACGATACCTCTCCTTCCCACGTTGTAGCGAACTTGATCCGCAGAAATCCTTTTCGGCTAATGCTCCAAACCATTTAATTAGCCGATGACAACCTAACATAAAAATGTAAATATTACACGATGAACAAAACTGGTTTTCGTACTTCTCACGAACCGAGTCCTACTCTAGAAAAAAAAAATGATAAATAAAAGAAGATTATTGTGTGTGCGATGGTATTATTATTATATTTGTTTGCCAAATGTGTTAGTCCGGGAGAGCTTTGGGACTCGTGTAGCGAAAAAATACAAAACATTTTTTCTTGCGGCCTATGTTTTACCGGTATCAAAATGGATGTGCTAGAACCGTAAGTTGACTATGTCTGATGTGGCCTGCTCTTGGTATTTGTTTATAAGTAAATTGTTATTTTTTTTTGCTATTGTCAATATTAACCTAATTCCAGTAGCGTAGGTATTTATGTAATAATATCTTCGTCGTTGAAAATTGTTTTCAACAAACGGTTACATTTAACATGTAATCATGATGACGAAACATTAACGAGTTTAGAATAGACAATTAACTATACCTATATCGATCCAACATTAGAATATTATATTGTACTTATACAAATTTATTATATTATATTATAACAATATATATATTATATCTGTAGTATAGACCATATTATACATTATGTACATTATTATTGTACCTATTTGTGACGTTTTATGTATAAAAAACAGTTATTGTAAATTAATATATTATAATTTTGTAATCACTTAGTCAGTAGCTAGTGGTTTGATGTCCCGTTTAGCTGCAAGTCGTTTTTAAATTTAATTTTTGAATTTACATCATAATAATTATCAACATATAACATATTGATATCATAAACACTTGAAAGAGTAAACTTTCAACTCATATTTCCAAGTTTATCTTTGTATTTCATCGTAGCTAATATTTTCTTTCTACCTATTTTTAAATACTAAAAACCCCTTTACATATCAAGTAATTTTAAAATTACAATTACCTACCGATTCACACAACAATGTATCATATCATATGATAATCATATCACATAGCACTCGAATGTATAAAAGTGGAAATATATTTTGAGATTTTTTATACGAGATTCGTTGTGTAAACGGCGTTCTAAAATTTCACTGTAAAGTCTTCCACGTCACAGCATTTTTGCTATCTATTCGATAATAAATTTCCCTCCGATACGATCTCAGACATACGTATTGTATAATTTATCATTTGAAATCATTTGCACTTATCGATTTGTTTTTCTCTTATCGAAAAAGACTGATGTTGACAAAACCGAAAAACTTGACGGTTTTGAACTAGGGCAATAAAAAAAAAAAAAACGTGACATTTATGATAGGCGCCTACAACTTTGTATTATACATTATTTATATAGTGAGATGTAAGTAGTTATTCTACTACCTCGGCTCGCGTACTCATTTCAGCATGTATATGATTAATATTGTACTACCTATGTTATCGTTTGATTGTTTATTTTAAACAATTCGTTCCTGCAGTATTATTTTGTGTATCAATACATCTAAGTCTCCCGTTCGAGTATTTATTTGTGTTATTTTTTTCTAGGCTTTTATCATTGTTTATTATAATACAGCTCGTTTAGTGAAAAAAAAGGTACTGGTTATAAAGAATGATTTTTCTAAATATGGATGTGACCAAAATGCGTAGGTTTTGCGGCTTTATATAAGACTCTCGTGCCAATTTTTGTCGATAATACGACACACTACCCAAGCACCTACTACATATTCGGTTTTCTTATTTTTATTTTTTTTTTTATATACACACGAGATATATAACGTGATTTTTATTAAAAAAAAAATCAAAAAAATCTCGCCTAACGGACCAAACAGTTTGATGGGATTTTTTCATCATATTGTCCGACATTAATCGGCTTACGTTCTCCGAGGCATTATAAGCTCTTGCCAAAGTTCCGATCGATATTCTTTAGACGCTTTAAAAAATATATAAACTATATTTTCTCCTTCGCCTGCCCACCCGCCCGCTTAATAGATCGCGTGGGAAGGATGTTATAGTTTCTCTTCACTGACAGCCCCGACTACGGGCCGGGCGCGTCCGAACCATTAGCTTAGAGAGATTTCATAGCGACCGCAAAGCTAAATAAAAACGGAAAAGATTTATTTTTTATTACCCCAAGTGCCGGGGAAATAGGTCTGCATGCGTGTAGTACTGTAGTATGATATAATATGTATCACTGGACTGTTGTAAACGTAAACAATACATTTCAGATAATTTGATAAATTCATCGAAGTACGGTTTTCATTTCTTCCTTCACGTCTTAAGTGAAGGGCAAAGCTCAGTTTAATATTGATGTTAATTTTTTCACCCGAGAATTATTCCGGCTCCTGTATAAGTCTTATTTAAACTTAACATTAATACAGCTGTTTTTCAATACGAAAATTGATTCTTGAAAAGGAAAACGGTTGACACTAAAGTTTGTTATGTGATCCGAGGTTTTTAGTATAGCCGATCAAAGTAAAACAAAATCATCATCTGTATGAACACTTTGAAATAAACATATTTTTGAACCCCACATAATAATTAGCCATAACCTGCGCATTTGATCCATTACGATGATAATTGTTGAATTGACTGTCACAAACGAGTGTTGGTAATTTATAATGAATAAACATACATTATTTATATTATTACTATATTATATTGTATTTGACCGGAGACGTTATAATATATTATGCGATTCTTCTGGATTAGTTTTGGATTATGTTTAGTGGACATGTTCACTGTAATTATTACTATATGTTTTTACGTTCTATGACTAAATTATATTATTTGTGTTTATAGATAGTGTTAATGATTATATTGTAATGCATCCCATTAAAAATGAGCCGAATTGGAAACTGCAGTATGTTTAATGGTTTCCAATTTGGCTGTATCTTAGTTACCTATTATAAAAAAATTATATACATTGAAACGTGTCCATACGACCTCCGGTCAAACTAAAATCTTAACACGTATAGTTGTCATCCCGTTTTTATATTTATTTTGTTTTTTATTTTTTTATTTATATACACTTAACTTCAGAATATTTTCAAATTATTATTGTTCTATTTTAGATACTTAATATTTTTCGTTCTTCGCAGAACATTAGACTTAGGTTTTTCAACTTTTTTTACGTTCTTCGAAATTTAGTTAAAACTATAATTATTATGTTAATATTATTATTATATATTTATATGTAACAAATAGTGTCTATCATAGTTTAGCTTAGTCCTGAAAGCTCTCACTCAAAATTAATTTACGCAATTTCGAAAAACAATGATCGCCGCGTGATCCTCTTTAATACCGTCCCAAAAATTTGATCACAAAACCAAACGTTTCAAATGCACACGTTTAAATGGATTGATAAATTGTACGATGAATGTTGTATTGACGAAACGAGTTATTTAATGTTCTTAATATAATATAATTAATTGTATTGAATAATTTTATGATGTTAAACCGATAATAATTATAGTTTATGTTTTATTAAAATATTAATATGCGTGATTTTTTTTGGTTTTTTTAGATTTTATGTGGCCATTGGGGACCTTGCCTGACGGTGAGTACCATAATTACTTTCAATAGATTTATACAAAACAAATATGTATTTTTTTAACATTTTCATCTCGAAAGCGCCATAATATCATATATTATTATTATTAATATCATATCGTTGCAGTCTCTTTTTTACACCTGAATATAATTAATCGAACAAAGTTTAACGGATGGGGGGGGGGGGCTGTCCGATTTCAGCGTCATTAGTAACGTAACACGTCAAGGCTGATGTGTAACGTCGTTACAAAATAATAAACATTACCTCTACCCTCTGCGCGCAAGGGAGCCACGACACAATAGAGAACCTATATATATATATACATACTATTATATGTAGGCGAAGGGCCGATTGGTCGGATGATGACGGAGTTCCGGGTTGAGGGATGGTTGTAGGGGAGGGAAGTGTGTTCAGACAATGACAAATGGTCTCCCTCGCCCGTACCAGCACCGAGCCATGAGTGGTGAGGGAACGAGGGTGGTAAAATGAGGGACAGGCAGGTTGAGTAGGGGGTGAATTGGTCTGGCTGGCTGACACTCGCTGTTGGGTTCGCATAACAAATTATTCTAAGACACGACTAATTCCTTTATCGTGTCCGGCGTTCCCGTCGTCGCAGTTCTCATTAATCCGTTCGATATGTATCGCGTCAAAACGATTCATTTTGATCATAATAATTTACAAACAAAATTATATTAATTTCGTGCTTCAGAACTGTATAATACTGCATATATTATATACTGTACGAACTTTTAATTTTTGTTCGACGACGAAACGTAGTACGAAAATTCCATTGCTAGTCAAATGGTAATTATCGGTCAAAAAACAGTTTATTCGGTAAAAAATGGTATTTTTTGTACATTAGCTAAATATTAATGTTGTATTGGTATTCTTTAGTTTGGGAAAAAAAACATTATTTTGGAAAACACCGAATATACACATATTATTTTAAACGTGCATTTATCCGCAGCAGTTTTAATTACGGATAATAACTGCGTCTGCCGCTGGCTCGTTCTTTTTTTTTTTATTTCTTTTTTTTTTTACATTTAATCCCCTTGTCACTCCAAAGCACTAGAAGGGATATGGAGAAGCTTTTCTGGTATGCCCGACAAATGGATTCGTGTACGTCCAAACAGTCATCGCGACAGTGCCAAGACAGATGATCGTCCCCTCGAGCCGCGCACTGTCGTGTTTGTGTTTGGGTGGGATGGAATGGGAAAAAACATTTGACATTCATCCCTCTTTTTATGCCGAATTTCCGCTCATTCAGAGAAATACTCGAGATCCGACCGGGGACGACAAATCACCATAATGAATTCGCGATATCAATCTTCGGTATACAAAATACCCCGCGAGTGCGTTTGTGCGGTGCGGTGCTGTGTGTGGGGGGGGGGAGGGGCAGCACTCGTCAGCGACCGACGAAATCGTGCGAAAACCATTATTTATGATGCTCACGTTATATTATTATTGCTGTTCCTCTTGCACATCACTGTTGTGTATATATGTTTACATTAGTCATACTACACAGTACACATAATATGTTATATAGCGGCCATGATAATTATATACATTTTGGGGCGCCGAAATCATCCTTCCGTCGAAAAACAGCGCTGATAAACTCTCGAAAATCGTTATTCGTTAAAATAAATATTTTGTCGAACATTGATTTGTCTTCAACACGTGACAAACGAAAAAAGTACTCGCACCTAAATATTCTATAATATCGCATTCCGACCAAAAATATTAGTATCATCAAGCGTTTCAAAACGAATATTTTAAGTTTTATTTTTATCGAAATATAATTAATCTTTTTCGATTGCACAAAGTATTTGGTGAATTAGAAGTTTTTGCAGGAATTATTCTTATGGAACATTATACCCATCCAAATTATTTATCTCGCAAGTAAATTACTACTGTTTATTTATTTATTCGTGTGGTATTTATATATTCAATTATTTTAAATAATATTATAATTTTCGTTAATTTCATCTGTATTCAGATTTCTTAATTATCACAAATCATTTAAAACGAGGAATTAAGCACTGGACAAATTACGAAGTTGTTGGTATATTTTTCTTTAATATTATATAATATTATATAATACTATATATATATATTTTTTTTATTCAAATTATGTCGCGTTTTATGTCGTTATTTATTTATATAAAAATCTGCTTTTATAATACAATCTGACAATTATTTAAATGACGCACAATTAAGAAATGTTTAATTCATTGAGATATTAATATCTCATTTGGACGTAAAAGGAATAAGAAGAGATGTAATCATATTCATAAAATGTATAGTTTTGAGGTTTGCTGCAAGAGACGAAACAATAAATCACACAACTCGTACAAAAAAACATTATACATTCCAAGTTTAAATGTAATATAAATCGAATGAAACAGCTACCAGCTCTCGATATTATGATTATTTTATAACGACCTAAAATAATACAAAATTACAATTAACTCGCGTATAAAGACATTTTTAACGAGTATTCATAATCTCTTTTTAAATGGAGTTTGCTATAAGACTTTATCGGATTAAGTTGTGAAAAATGACTTATGTTTTGAAACAGAAATGTTTGCTGATAATATTTTATATTTTTGTCCCACAATAAAATATATAAATAATATGAACATCTGAAGTGATAGTGTCTGAATAAAATACAATTTTGTGAACCAGTTAAATATGATCCTGCAAAAATTTTAAAGAAAACTGACCACGACAAAAACATATTCGTAGTTATTTTTCTTTTTTACATTATTTATACATAAGAACTCGATATATTATAAGTATCAAGCCGTTGTCATCTATTACAGAGATAGTAAAAATCTCGTCGAATGGTTATACATAGTTTAGGACTTATTATGTTCAGCATTCATAATTTACCCTCTTCCTCTAAATTTGATAACAAAAATTATTATAACTACAAAATCTTTCACGTTATTAAAATTATATTTTTTTCACCAAATCTCACGTTTCATGTTGATAAATACTGTGTCGTATTATTTAGATAAAAGTATTAAATGTTATATCTACGGACTCCAGTGGGAAAATTGAATGACGTGTATTGCTTATGGACTTCTGTAATGTATACAAAAGGAGTGAAATACATCGGGTGAAATGTCATCCCTCTACACGTTTTCATTCAAGCGTTTCACTCCCCTATACTCGATTTCCTTCAAGAATGCTACCACTTCCCTAAACCTAAGCTAGGGGGCTTCTATAATCGATTACACGTTGCAACTATTAAAATCAGGCGCTCAGAATTGTGAACAGTATATGCACTTAAAATAATACTTGAAAGTTTTTTGAATCCCATAAGTTCTGCTGGGACTCGTCAGTAGTGGCCGTTATATTTAGTCCATATTTATGATGTAGGTGTAAATATTTAGTTAAATAATATTATTAAAGTCTTTAAATATTATAATATATAAAATATGGCTTATATAGCGTTTAGTCATTCCACGACACATTCATAATATGCAACTTGAATACATAATTTACAGATTGACATTTTTTTTTTTATAAATTTCACAACCACAAACAACGAAAAAAAACATTCAATCAGATCGAAATTCGCCGTATTCGTATTTTAGAAACCAACAATGATCTTTTTAGCGTTTTCCATGACGTATCTAAGCTAAAAAACTCACAACATTTATCATAATTACCTAATAACGCGTGTGCAGCAGATTCGAATGATACGATGCATTTAAAATAAAATAATTATTTACACATGTAATATAAATCTTATCGGCATTTCTCGGCATCGTGTCTAGCGAACTCTCACCCGTCACATATCGCGACAACCATCCTGTGTGCAATATACTATATTATTTGTATATTTTAATATGTCGACTGCCGACTGTATAAACGTCTAGCTGTTTCGTCGTAACTTCCGGGCGTGCCACGATATAATATAATATATAATCATGATATTATACCCTGTGCGCGTTCGTCCCAGTACGATATAGGTACCCTCATACGTAGTTGCGCGTATACGCTCATTTCCGTTTCAACGCGCGTTTATATTATATTATTATTATTATTATTATTATTATTATCATCATTGTTATTTTTACTGTTATTGTTATCGTTATCGTTTTACTTTGAACAATTTTCCCCTGTATATAATATACTAATCACGTATGTGTGTTTGTGTTTCAGGTTTTCCGGCGGCTGCGTACGCGGCTTACGCCTCTAGCCGAGGTTTTTCGGGTTACCCTAGTTTCGGACTCTCGTATCCAGCAGGTAATAACCACGCACAGGTCACTGTGCTCCCTTTTCCCGCACTGCTTGACCATCACCACAACCATCACAACACCCATCCTTTCTATATGCATGCCATGCCTCTGTGAACATAATTATTATTACTATTATTATTATTATTATTATTATTATTCTTATTATTATTATTATATTATATTATTATTATTATTATTATTATTATTATTATTATTATTATTATTATTAATGACGACACCAGTGCTCCGGGTCGAATTCGCAAAACCGAAACTGTCATCCGTTCCGTCGGTTTCTATCGTTAAGATTGGCGCATAAAATATTTCAAACATAACACCTAATATATACTAATTGCAAATAATATATATTTTATTCGTTGCACTGTTCGCCGGACGCCAACACCGATGGCCTCCTCCCCACAGCCGACCCTAAGGAGTGATATCGCATCAATCTTCGATCTATAACACAACTATTACCTACGTATAATATTCGTGTGTGTGTTTGTTTATATTAAATTTTTCAGTGTTTGTGTGTGCGTGTGTTTGTGTTTATTGTTTGTTACTCCCCCCCCCCCCCCATATCGTCGTCCGCTGTCGTGTGTATTGCTCGTCGTCTGAGTTTCTGATTTTTTTTCGTTTTATTTACACTCATACTAATAATACTCACTCACTCACCCACTTATAAGTTTTCTTATCCGTTACAATGACGATACCATATTATTATAAGATGTGCGAGACGTGGTTTGCGAACGTTCGGCCCAGACGCTCGGCCGGAATATTGCTCTCTTATAAAAAAATTTGCTATATAAACGTAAAAAAAAAATATACATACATAAAATGTATCACTTAAATATTACTATATACTATCATGTGTCTATGCGCTTACTTATTATTTATTTTTATTGTAATAACAATAATTTATTTTATTATGCGTTTTAAATCGGCTACCGCTAACATAATACACAGTATGTTTATGTATATATTATATACATTTACATACTTTGAGTCGTCCATAATACGTCTCGCTTTCGGTCTGTTGTTGATTTTTTTTCGTTTTTTTTTTTTATTTTTATTTTTTATTGTTCCAGGGGGGGTGGGTTCATTTATTTAACATTTCATCGATCATTAGGTATACGTATGGGACGTTATTATATACTATACAGTATACATTGTATAATTATTATTAATTGATATAAAAAAAAAAAAAACTTCGAAACCGTTTCGTGCCCGAGACGATATATTATATATTATATAATATTTCCTTTATCGTATTATATTTTTATCTCGTCAATATTACGCGACAACGTCGTTGTCGGTCTTAAACTGTCCATAATTTTATATTATAATGTGTTACTCATGACGACGACGGCGACGGTGAAGATGAGTCGATATTACATAGAATATTCATAGTAGAGAGGATAATATTATTCACGGTATTCAAGCCGGACGTTTTTTTTTTCACTCGAGTTAAATAAATTCTAGTCGTTATTTTTAAAATATAACATAATATATACTTAGAGTGACCAGTTAAGATAATATGATAATATATGATTCCGGTAGTAAATTAAATATTATTATTATTATTCGAACTTGCGCGTTAGTTTAGGTTTACGTATAATAATATATAAAATATAATAATAATATAATATACGATATTAATTAAACGTACATTTCTCGATTCACGACTATAATATATATTATAATATTAATAATTATTATCATCGACTTATAGCTTTAGACATTTTTAATTACGATGTTTACTAGGTTAATACAATTATTATAATATATTATATTGTATGTTTAACGAACAAACTTAGGCTTAGAAAAATGAATATATATAGTAGTAAATATTATATAATATAATATTATTAATAGGGACAAGTGTAAATTTGCAAAAAAAAAAAACAAAAAAAACACTGTTATTGAAACGAATATAATTGAATACGATATATGTTCATCGCCACGATGGTTTCTATTTATTATCATAATATTGTTTGCTTCGTTCTATTTTTTTTGTTTTTAATACATAATTGTTTATTTTTTTTTTTTTTGAATCTGTTATTATAATTTTTTTTTCTACTCTCCGACGATGTACCTTTTTTTTTGTTTCTTCAAATGTGTTACAAAATAAAGTTCACGACCGTTTGCCTATTATAATATACATATACATATTATATTATATATCGGTTTATAACCTATAAATGTCACGACTAAAATAATTAATCAAAAATTCTGTGATAAATCGCTATATACCGTTGTACATTATTTGCGTGTATTATAATATTATTATAATTCATATAGTAATAATATTTTGGTTTTGTTTCGTTTTGGATATATTTTTTTTTTTATGAACCATTCTTTTTGTCTACAATTTTGTCATTAATATTTTGTTGTTACCGCGTCGAATTTTTACCCGTTAACGTTTGTCATCGCTTTGATACAGTAATAATATTACATACTTTTGGTAGTGCCGCATCAACTATATAAGTTTTTTTATAAGTTTTTTTTTTTGTTTGTTACGATCGTTGCAATTCATGTATACTACTACTATTCTAGTGTGTGTCCGTACAACCATTTCGTGTATACAAAAAAAATGTTATTATGTATATTGCTATGAAACGGGTTAGTCAATTAATTAATAATGTCAGTCCGATAGTTCACAGTAGCATGGTCCAATGTGTTTCATTACGGCAAAATAATTTTAATACATATATATATAATATAAATATATGTATAGAAAACAATAACGAAAAAAAAATATACGAAAACAATAATTAATATAATATAGCATACTGTGTTATGTATTATGTTTAATTTAATTGTTACACTGTTCTTTGGCCCGAGGGTCCGACTAGTCTAATTTTTTTTCTTCATTCTGTCAGAGAAGGTTCCCAGTAAAATTAAACGGCTAGGTGTTTTTAATGTTAAATATTAGGAAATAATATTATTTAGATTTAAGAAACTTATTTAAAACACAATATTCAGCAATATTATGTAAATGTTTATATTATATTATAAACAAATGATGATGACCCAATTATACTATGTGGGATTCTCGTTGTTAAATATAATAAATTATCCTATACTTTATGTTTGTAATTTTAAAAAGTTAATTATTACTGTATTGTAATACTATAAAATAATGATAATTATTGTTTTATAACAATGTATAATATGGGCAATTTAATGTCTCATAATAAAAATCTATTATGTTACATACAATGATTATTCTATCAAATAAATTTAAATAAATTATTGATAATATACAAATCACAAATGTTTTAATTTATGTAGGAGTACATTTTTGATTTATATCGACCAGATATACGTTCTTTAAAATTGATTATATTTCTTTAATTTTATTATATTTTTTTTCGTTATTATTATTTTAATTTTTTCTTTCTCTCTACCGTAATACATTCCAAAGACTCATCCATTCAAAGGAGGTTTTGCATAATTCATTATTTTTTTTTACTCCCAATCCTGGTGCTTAAAAACAATTTGTTTCGATTGACGGCGTCGTCTGAAACCAACGACCGCAAAGTATACCGTACCGATTTGCATTATTTTCGTTTTGTATATCATATAAGACCCTCTATATCCATCTATCTCTCTCTCTTTTTTTCTCTCTTTAAATATAAATATATATTTATACATACGCATACACGAAAATGATATATTTTCAAACAATATATTACAATATTATATGATATTATTATATTTGGCTGAGCTACTTATCGTAGTTACTATAATATAGACTATAATAATATATTTAGTGTTTTGCCTGAGTTGTCGAATATAAAATCCAAATTAGATTTCCTCATTAGCGTAGAAGACGTGCGTACTCGTATATTTTATACTTAAACGTTACCGTATTATATCGTACCGTACCTTGGTTGAGTTGAGTTGACATTTGTTGTTGTTTTTAGATGTTATTAATTTCTTTGTCTATGTATTTGTATAAAACGTTTCAATACAATGATCAAATGTTTCATTTTTTTTGTCTACTTGTCTGTACGTTTTCTTTTTTTTTTTAACATTTTGTAGGGGTCGCCATTATCGGGACCAGACCTCGGTGCGGTATTACTCCAGCCCAATGCCATAACGGTAAACTATTCATCATTACATTTTTTTTCGATTTTGTCGTTTACCAACCATAATGTACGAAACGATAATAGCATTAGACGGTCATACATTATTGTAATATTGTTATATTACGACCGCGACACGATAGTGATATGCCGAGATAAACTCTATAGGTATAATATACTATATATAATATAATGCTATAATAGCTGTACCCGAAAGACCTCCGCATTAGACGATCTTGTTTTTAGTGTCCTGCACCTGTGCTGTGCGTAGGATAATATTATCGTCATTATTATTATTATTCATTTATGTTAACCCTTAAACGATATTAGTATGTACAATATTATATAGGTAGGTGCAATATAATGCATGCGTCCTATAATATTGCTATAATAATTATAATGAACAAATGTACCTTTAATATCGTCCATACCTAACCACGAATAATATTAAAGGCAAACCAAAGTTTTGAACACGTATTAATGTTATTATTACTATTTATTATTATTATTATTATTATTTAGATGGCACAAACTTAATATTTTGTCTAGTCGACATAATAATAAAAATCTTATAATTTTGAAACGGCCAAAGTCGAGTCTTACGAGGAGGGTACATATACTATACAAAATTGAAAATATTATATTATATTGCATCATGTTATGGGTGACGTCCGTCTTGGAAAGAGTCCTAATATAACCGATGTAGATGGATGAGTCTCTTGGATATTTCATATCTTTTCTCTTTTTCCTCATATATACTGGATTTTTACGTATTTATTTATCTCTACTGTTATTATTATCTTTTTTTTTTATTTATTCATTTTACCAATATAACGACGCAGCTCGTTTCGGAAACGTAACAGCAGCGATTTTTTTTTTGTTTTGATTTTTTTTTCTGTTGTATTTGGTCTATACTAGTCATATATCTCATCCCAATATATATAATATACGGGTTGACCCCGAACCGTACGTAAAACCGTATATGATATGAGTATACGAATACGGTACGCATATGGAAAAAAGACAATATTTATGTACAAAAACAAATGGAAGTGCGATGTAATAAAGGTGTGTGTATGCTATTCCAACCGACGGTGGTGTGCGTGGCATATCGAAGAAAACGCAGATGTTTCCTGACGATTTCTTCTCCGATAGACACGAGTAAATATTCAATATTACAATTTATATACAATAAGTATATACTACGTATTATACTATTATTATTATTATTATTTATTTATTAATTTTTTTTTTAGCGGTATGAAAAAATCGCCCCGTCCCCAAAATTTGATTGTTTCCGTCTAATATTTAATAATAACACCTGCAGTAGAAGTCTGGCGAATAACTTTTGCGCGTTACAAGTTTTATCAGTATTTCACTCTTCCTCTTTGAATAATTGAAAAGTTAAAGTTTAATCGAATTCCCGAGCCCTGAGACGCAGCTTACAAATGTAAAACTCAATACAAATATTCCTCGTAGAGTTCTTGGCCAGGCTTACAGTATATATTATTCATACTCATAATCATATTATTATTATTATATTTACTATTACTATTATTATTATTATTATTATTATTATTATTATTGATTATACATATTGTAGTGATTTTAGCCTAGTGGTATAGACTTAGTTACTATCCCGTTCGAATTGAACAAACATTATAATATTTTGTAATTATCTTGTATAGTTATTACTTTACATAGTGGCTTAAAATAGTAAAGAAAGACTTAAACGCAATAATAATACCTAAACTAAATCGCGTGTTTGCTAAACACGATATTGGTAACATAATTTCGTGGTCACGGTGACAATAATAATATTAATATTATTATTCTATTCGTTAATGTGGTGAGCGGACTGCGATATAGTATTTTATAATTTTCGTTGTCGTTAAGATTTCTTATCTAGATAAGCCAGCTACACCACTGCTCGTTCCGATCCAACTGATGACATTTTATAATATATCATTGTATTAGTATAATAACCATGGTAAAACGATTACCGTACATGCACAGTAGGGTCTGATCACAATAATATACATTATATCGCTGTTGGACGATGTATTATTGTGTTGCCCGGCGCTTTTACTGTACTATATCGATTTATTTCTTAGTACCTATACACTATTATTCATACAGTTGGACGTGTACAACAGTAATATAATATTATGATATAATATTATTGTGTGTATTAAAGTGTACAAGTATTTACTTAGACCGTATAGTTTCTTATATTATATTAGTACCTATATTATACATATTTTTACCTATTATTATTATTATTATTATTATTATTATTTTTATAACATATTTTATCTAGTAAAATAAAATAATATTTAGTACATTAGAAAATGTAAGTGTACGACACACGCTAGTTTATTTAGACGAGTTTTAATAATCGTATATATAATATATATTATATATATATATTTATACTACCATCTATAGTCCGTATATACAGCATTGAAACGTTCCCATTATCTATATTATTACTATTTGTATTAGTTTTTATTATTATTACTATTACTTATCTATTATTAATTATTATTATTTTCGAGTATATTATATTAGTATGTTATTAAACCCAGAGTATCGTATTTTAATCTTAGATGATCAGTATTTCGACAATGCCTAACATAATAACATAAATCTACATAGGTACGTATGATAAAATGTATATCGTAGTTCATATATATTCGACGCGTCAGTTGACTGTGTTAGGTGTCAGTGGACTATATTATATTGTTGAATGTTTATCGTAATAAATCTATATATAAATATATATATATATATATAGCTGTACATCTAATTGAAAATATTTTTATGCAAAGATTTGTTTGTTGGTATGTAGTGCGGTTATGTAGATAGCCATGGTGCGATATAGGTAGGTAAGTTTGCTGTTTATGACAGTGAAAAATAATTTAAAATACTTTAATTATTATGATAATATAATCTTTTATTTTACGCATTTACGGTCTACTACCGAATTGTTAAGATCATTTACCAACGAGGGGGTTTTACCATTAGCTACAATGATACAATATGGTTTTATGAAACGGGTGTTTTTTATTTATTAAATTCGTTGCAGTGATGATCTCTAACTTTTTTTTCTTTTGGCCGGGTTGATAATTTTCCGATTAGGCCTCCCGAAGTAGAAGATAAAGCTGCATACCACGGTGTGTTTATTTATTCTGAATATTATTTTCAGTTAATTTATTTCGCCAGATGGCGACGATGACAAACAAATTCCGGAACACCCGGATGATTGATTATCTGTTTCTCCGCTCGCGCTCTCTGCCTGGTCACCCCCGTCCGACACCCGTCGACCAATAAATGAGGGGGTGGGGCCCTTCCCACACCTCCTACCACACGCACTTGGTGGTAAAAAAATCATCATCAAATCCGTGGTCATGCATTAATGTAACAGTCCGGCGACCTCGGTCGGAAAGCTTTATCCGGAAGTAATCATAAAAAATCCGATATCCGCTTCTCTTGAACAAAAAAAAAAATATTGCCGATCACACAAACACACACACACACACACACACACCACACACACAGCCCATATAATAATAGAGAGGAGAAATCTCGTTCGATGTTCAGTTGATAAATGATAGTTTATATTATACACTGGGCCGAAGAAAAAAAAAATATTTATATATATAAAAAAAGTAATTGCGATTCCGTGGTTTTATGCGTTTTACGAGCAGCGGAGAGTGGCTGGCGGGTATTGCGATTGTTATGGTTTTTATGTGCCGGCGTTCGTTAATGTCCACATTATTGCTAGATAAAGGGTTCCTCCGTAAAGCCCCTGCAGCAGGTCTGTTATCCAAATGCCAGTCGCATTAAAAAAAAAAAAAACGAAAACGAAAAAAATATATGAAACTAAAACAGAAAACAAAAAAAAAATAAAAATAAAAAATGAAATAAAATAAAACAAAAACGACAAACAACCGAACCTCTCGGCGGCGGTGGCGGAGAGCTTTATCCAGTCAGATTCGTTTTTTACTTTATTTCCAGACGTTTTCCGAATTCCGTTCGTCTATATGTATATTATAATAATAATAATAATAATAATAATAATAATAATAATAATAATAATAATAATATAATACGGGCCATTCGAGCACATGTTGGATGATTATGGTGGCCTCAGCGAATAATTTTATCGTCGGAAATATTTTTTTATTGTTGTGCATGTATTCCGCCGCGTATAATATGATAGAATATATTATATCCGGATAGGGTTATGGTCGGCGGCGGGTGGGGTACCTACCTATATATTATATAATATGCACATACACACGACGGCTGTTATTGTATATTGTTACTACGTTTGTATATAAGCAGCAATACACATATATAATATCGCTACTCGCTGTGTGTGTTTATCGTTTCTGCAGACTATATCGGGCGAGCCCACCCCTCGGAAGAACGTAGCACAAACTGTAACTCCGCCCCACCACCCCCCCCCCCTCACGCCACCGAACCCGAACAGCCACCGAAGAATAATATGCGGATTTACACTCGCAGCGTTGATTCGGACGGAACGTGCGAATTTGAACCGTTCTGGATCTCGAATGGACGATGCGATAATATAGTTGTCCTAACCTAACCTAACCGCATAAACACCCTGTATATTATACAAGGAACGCGATTGCAAACTATTATATATTTGTGTGTGTGTATTGATATTGTGTAAAATGAACAGTAACTTATAATCGCCCTCCGTTCACTTGCCTACTCGTGGTGCAGTTTGTGTTGAGACTTAAACGCAGCCCAGAACCCTAACTATAATAAACATGTATATGTAGGATCGATGGAGTTTGCAGTCAGGAAACGGTTATAAAAAAAAAAAAACGACCTTCGAACAGCAGAAATCGAGTGTATACGTAAACTTTTCTTTCAAATTGGGTTGTCATGCTTTTTAAAGTTTTCCTGTTTATTTTCGTTCCGAGATTGGGGATCGAAACAGTGCTCACCGTCCTATGTACGACGACAGTAGTAATAATAATA